ATAAGTGAATGAAGCCACCTCTATATACAGCCACATAAACCAGAAACCTGAGAAGCATCCAAGGTCTGCTTTTTGCCTCACCACACACAGAATGTCACTAAATACTGATTCAGTAAAGCCTTGGATTGTAAGTAACTTGTTCTGTGAGTGTTTTTGCAAGATTAGCAAACATTTCTAATACATTTTAACTTGATATACGAGTGATGTCTTGCAATAGGAGTCCAAACCTGACGCCAAGCGTCACATGATTACAACTCAGCCAATGGCTCTTCTCTGTCTCTCTATCTCTCTCTCTGCAAGATTGTGGGTGATCAGCTCTCATGCTCGGATGATCCATCTCAGGCCACAGTGTTTGGCAGAAATCAGTGATTTTTCAGAATGCTGGAAGGTGCCCACAACTGGCAGTAGTGTATTTTTTGTCACTTCAAAGCACCTAGGGACAGTCCTTTACTTTTCCTACAAGAGTAAAATTAGGAATGCTTTGCTTCATTCTAGGTCAGGCTGCTTGCAGATATAGACCCTTTCTTCTGCTGCCTTATTGCCAGTTACATTAAATACAGTCTGACAAGAGTTTATAATGCTGTACCGTAGTCAACATCCGTGCGAGCATATCCAAAGGCCCCCATGCAGAAAAAGATTCCATTGAGTCAATAGACAGCAGTGATTCTCTTAGTGATAGTGAAAGTCGTCCTACACAATAACGCTTCTCTCTCTTGTCTTCCTCGAACCAGCCATGAAAGTTCTCACACCAGCCATGAAAGGTAAGTGCAGGTTAATTTGTTATTTTTCTTTATATTTTGTATTTATTTAGTATTTTGTATTGTATTGCAGCACTGTAATCATTTTTATGTGAATATTTTTGGGTTGTGGAACAAATCATCTGAGTTTCCACTATTTCTAATGGGGAAATTTGTTTTAGTATACAAGTGCCTTGGATTACAAGCATGTTTCAGGAATGAATTACCTTCACAAACCAAGATTTTACTGTAATTGTGTTTCATATGTGTTCTCTCCTCTCCACCCCAGTGGTAACCCCCCTAACTCAAGTACTTATTATCTCTCATTTGAACACCAACTCTTCAGATAGCTTGGCCTTATAGCCTTCCATCTTATTCTTTTAAACAGTATTCTACACTAAACAAGAAGTAATCTTTGTAACCATGTATTTACTCATAAAATTCTACTCTTTATTCTAAACGAAGTCCAACATCTTTGACATAGTACAGAAGTTTGTTTGTGAAGCCTCTTTCCAATATTGTTCTTTTGCCTTTCCCTCCTCATACCCTAGGGGACAGCCTGGCATGTCCTATCCACCTTACGTCCTCCTGAAGAGTGCTTAAGTATCTTTTAAGCACTGTGCTGACTCCCTTTCAGAATAATGGATCACACCCTCCTTTGGTCCCATGGTGTACTGTGCACACTTCCATCATAGCCACTAAATTGTTTGTTTGCATGGCTCACTCTGAGAGAGATGGTAAGGCCTTTGAAGATCAAGGCAGCATCTCATTAATGTTTGCTTCTCCAGTGTCTAAGAGAGTGCTCACATATAACAGATGGTCAGTAAATATAAATTAAATGAATTTTCAGGGCACCTGGGTGGCTCAGTCGGTTAAGCATCCAACTTTGGCTCAGGTCATGATCTCAGGTTCATGAGTTTGAGCCCTGTGTCAGGCTCTGTGCTGACAGCTAGCTCAGAGCCTGGAGCCTATTTCAGATTCTGTATCTCCCTCTCTCTCTGACCCTCCCCTGCTCATGCTGTCTTTCTCTCTCTCTCAGGAATAAATTTTTAAAAAATTTAAAAAATAGGGACGCCTGGGTGGCTTAGTCGGTTAAGCGTCCGACTTTCGCTAGGGTCATGATCTCGTGGTTCGTGGGTTCGAGCCCCGCGTCGGGCTCTGTGCTGACTGCTAGCTCAGAGCCTGGAGCCTATTTCAGATTCTGTATCTCCCTCTCTCTCTGACCCTCCCCTGCTCATGCTGTCTCTCTCTCTCTCCTAGAAATAAATAAAAAAATATTAAAAATTTTTTAAAAAAATAAATTAGATGAATTTTCTAAATTAATAAGGGAATGACTTAAATTATTAAGAATCTACATGTAGATAATTGTGGATATTATATAGAAATTGAAAATTATCTTGAAAGTATTTAATTATCCAGTTTTAGGTAGTCAATAAATTTATCTTAAATGCTTCAATTAATTTTTTAAGCACTGTACATAGCTTCTAAACTTTTCACTCCTCCAAAATTTCAGGACATTTATTCCTTGAGCTTCTTTATTCTGCCCATGTAAATGCCATGTGCTTTGAGTCCTTGACTAGGATGTAAGTCAAAAACCATGGGCATATTTCCTTCCCTGTCTTGTTAACAGAGAACCATATTGTTCACATATTAACAGTCTACTTCTCCTCTTTCAAATAAAGAACGAAATGTGATCTGATCAATGAGTTTTGGATGTTTCTTTCCAAAACTTTGCCCACCGAGCAGATACACACAAACATAGACACATACGTATATAGGACTGACCCACAAAAGAGAGAGAATCAAAAAATTTCAAGACACACTCTGTTTATCTTTTATTATGTGAGTATAAAGTCAGCATCTATTCCAAGGCATTATTTTATTAGAAGCTTCATGGAACTCATGAGTATATCATAGTAAAGATGTGATACCTTCTAAACTCTAAGGCTTCTATCAGACACCTCAAGACCAGCTTTACTCTGGTTTGTTTTCCCTTACTTCCAACAGCCCGTATCAAATCTCAGGTAGTCATGGAAATTTCCATGTAGTCATGGAAAGGATTCAGCATCTTTCTCAGCACAGTGTGGTTAGAGTTTTCCTTATCTACCAACAACCACTTATAATTATCTAAGGAAGGAAGAAAACAATTAATGTCGACTTTCAAGCCATTATTTCATAGATATGATGTTCTGCCTCCTACAGCCTTCACAAAATCCCTCTGAGACTAGATGGAGATCCAGGAACCCATCACTATCCAAATACTTAGGAGGTATAAGCTACAACGTGATCCCAGGAGTATGTTTATTCTTATTACTACGCAAGTTTCCTGTATGGATCCAGCTGGGTATTAAGTCATCACGTACCAGCCCCTTTTCTTCTGAGCGTCCATCCCCAGGGCCCAGAGAAATGGAAAGACAAACAACTTTTATTCTCCTGGTAGAGATGGTATCTGTGTCTTGTGTGTCCTTGTCTCCTCTCCCCCAGGGACACTCAGGGACAATCTGGGTGGGTTTGGACGATGATGAGGTTGCTATAAACCCTTTCCTGCAGATGTTCACAGTGAGCAGGCCCCAGGACCTGCATCAGCTTGTGTCAAGGGAACAGGGACAAGACCCGCACCTGGAAGTCCCTCTTTTAGAGACAGTTGGAGGGGATAAGATCCTCAGCTCTGACCTTTGAAATCTCTGCCGACTTCTGTGTAATTTCCTCTAAATCCAATCCTGTCTCTGAGATAAGACAACGGCTGGTGCCACAGTGAGTAAAGGGCTTTTTTCAAAGTGTGGTGGGTGAAAGAAGCTGGGGTCTGGAGGGAGGAAGGGCTCCAGAAATTAGCATCTCTGAACAGAAGGTACAAAGTCAACTTATGGGCAGGCAGCTTTCTGGTCTTAAGATAGGGCTGAAATTTTCCAAGTTGGAATCATAAGCTGCCTATTAAGAATGATCACATGTATCATGAATTGTCATTTCCTAGGAGTATATGGGACATTTCAGGATTTCCCTTTCTGTCATCCCGTGGCCATATGGTTAGTGGAATGGCAGCCAGAGGAAATGAAAGAAGAGTCAAAAGACTTGATTAAATTCCAGGATAGGCACTTATATGCCTGCATTCCATCCATCTGTCTGTCCGTCCATCCATCCATCCATCCATCAAACATCCATCCATTCATCCATCCATCTAACAAATGGGTGCTATATTAGGTACTGTTCAAATGCAGGAGGGTGTAGGATCCACGCAGAACCAGAAAAGCAGTCCAGCAAGAGGGTGGGGTGAGGCAGGAGTAGAGGTATTATATAGTTAAATGTTCACATGATAACTGCTTGCCCTGACCCTATAGCACAAATTACTTCTGTGAATGCTGACCAGATTAGTGATGTTGCTCTGCTCATGCTCAAAAAGGAAACAGATTTTCCTGTGTAGCTTCAGAAAGTAAAAAAGTTAGGGACAACTTCATTTGCTAAAGCCCTAAAACTAGTGAACACAGAGGGAAACAATTCATTTATTTACTCTATGTCTCTCTCTCTCTCTCTCTCTTTGAGTGAGACAATTTATTTACATTTATTTACTCTCTGTCTCTCTCTCTCTGTCTCTCTTTGAGTGAGAGAGAGAGAGAGGGAGGGAGAGAGAGTGCACTAGCAGGGGAAGGGCAGAGGAAGAGGGAGAGAGAGAGAATCCCAAGCAGGTGTGACTTGATCTCAACCTCTGTGAGATCATGACCTGAGCTGAAATCAAGAGCTGGATGGATGCTTAACCAGCTGAGCCACCCAGGAGCCCCTATTTACTCTATCATCTATTGAGTACCTGCTGAGTGCAATGTGCTCTGCACAAATTATAAAATAAGAGCAAACCAAATGATAAAAAGAAAGTGGGAACAAAATTGGAAATCTAAATCAATTAGAAAGTAAAAGTATATGAGACTATGGCTATTGGACTTTCCAAATGAAATAGTCATTCTGGAAAACACATTATTCTGTGGCTGCCATCATAATAGTAAATACATAAATCTTGCCATCAAAGTTAAATAAAATTGGGTAGAGATCAAAATAGTGCATGGAATCCTGTGCTCGCAGTACTACTTACCTGAATAGATTTTTCTTTCTGCTTTACAGTGGATTAAAGGATTTGACATAATGGTTCTGAAAAGGATTGGCAGCTGATCTAACACACGGTAAATACCTTAAAACCCTTCTTTCAGTTAAATAAGTAACCAAGATCAGAGTTTGCTCCCCAGCAGCAGTGACTGGTACAGATACTATTGTCAGGGAATGACAGAAAATCAAACATGGGTCACAGAATTTGTTCTCCTGGGATTCCCGCTCAGCCCAGTGAGGCAAGTGCTCCTCTTTGGGCTCTTCTCCCTGTTCTACGCCTTCACCCTGCTGGGGAACAGCACCATCCTGGTGCTCATCTGGCTGGACTCCAGACTGCACACCCCCATGTACTTCTTCCTCTCCCACCTGGCCGTTGTTGACATAGCCTATGCTTCAAATAATGTCCCAAAGATGCTGGCCAACCTTCTGAACAAGGAAAAAACTATCTCCTTGGTCCCATGCATAATGCAGACCTTTTTGTACATGGCTTTTGCTCACACCGAGTGTCTCATCTTAGTAATGATGTCTTATGATCGGTATGTGGCGATTTGCCACCCCCTGCGTTACACTGTCATCATGAACTGGACAGCGTGCACTGTTCAGGCTGTCACTTCCTGGGCATGTGGCTCCCTGCTGGCCCTGGTCCATGTGGTTCTCATCCTGAGGCTGCCCTTCTGTGGGCCTCATGAAATCAACCACTTCTTCTGCGAGATCCTGTCTGTCCTCAAGCTGGCCTGCGCTGACACCTGGCTCAACCAAGTTGTCATCTTTGCTGCTTCTGTGTTTATCTTAGTCGGGCCCCTCTGCTTGGTGCTGGTGTCCTACTCGCGCATCCTGTTTGCCATCCTGAGGATCGAGTCCGGGGAGGGCCGCAGGAAGGCCTTCTCCATCTGCTCCTCCCACCTGTGCGTGGTGGGGCTCTACTTTGGCAGTGCCATCGTCATGTACATGGCCCCCAAGTCCCGCCACCCTGAGGAGCAGCAGAAGATCCTTTCCTTGTTTTACAGCCTGTTCAACCCTATGCTGAACCCGCTCATCTACAGCCTGAGAAACACCGATGTCAAGGGTGCCCTGAAGAGAGTGCTGTGGAAGGAAAGATCAATGTGAGGGATGCCAGGGATGGTCTTGAGGTGGAAGATTTGTTGTCTGTGACATGTGAGGGGAATGATAATATCAATGCCTGTAAAAAATCTCATGCTTCAGATTTTCAATATTAAAAATATATATTGATCAGATTCTGTCCCTAAACATGGGGTGCTTCCAGACCACAAGGTGTAAGTAGAAAGTCACAAAGTATAGGCCATAAGAGAAGAATCGTGTAGTGATGAAACACTGGAGCAGAGAGCCATCGACTCCCATGGCCAGTCCCCAGCACTACCTAAGATCCACTTTCTTGTCTTTTGAGGGTTTTTTCTCTCACATCTCCCCTTAAATTCATCTAAGATTTCCATCTCCCTTGTTGTTAGTATATGCTAATAATATCATGATATTTTCTGAAAAAATAGTGTATCTCTAGCAAGACAGAATAAATGGTGACCTTGTTAAGCAGTCCCCTCCTAGGGAATACAGTGTCGACTATGGGTAGAGCCAACACCTTCATCTGGTACTTAGAGTCTAAGCAGGATGACATTAGTTTTGAAAAATGATCTGAATCAGAGCCTAGGGAATCTATTCCTATGCAAAGCAAAGTTTAATTTTATGGATTTTTTATATGTATATGAGAGGTGGAGAAATTTCACGATCTTTGTTTCATTCCATTTAATTGTGCTCCATTTAATTTAAAAGAGATTGTGTTTAGACTAAATATGAGATTCAGTTATTAGGGAGAGTTGCCTTGTCCAGCATTCAGGTTACAAAGCCAGATGTAAGTAACAATTGACCTTTAAGATGATGGCATAAAATGTCCCAGGAAAAACAAAATCTTGGAGGGAGGGATTTCTTCCAAGGGAGGCCAACAGCTTAACATAATGTTGTAAACTCACATTTAGAACCACTAACACGACAAAGTCTGACTACGATTTGTAGGAACCACAATAACATTCTAAGTGGTATTATGCTCCACGTGATATTCATCACTTATTCTAGACCTAAGTGGTCAGAATGATAAGGAAGAGTAATTTGTTTCCTTTTATCACAAGCTTGGGGCCTCAGTGGTCGACAGAGTATGACAACGGGGATTTCTTTAACATGCGTCTTTGTGGCATCTTTGACTTCTCTTCCTCTTTACTCTGGTAGTATCATGTGCCGTTCAGGTGTGTGATATATGTGATCATATATTATTTCCACTTTCTGGAGGTCAGTTTTTTTCCACATCCTCTTATGTGTCATTATCAGTCTCCCTTTTTCTTCTTGCATGAAATTAAGATGCACAGGGGAAACCTTTGTCTTCCATCTCTCCCCTAGTGCACTGTTTTCCTCTTGCTTCTCAAAAAGCCTGGTTGCTGACTATTCCACTCTTTGACTATTCTCCCTGCTAGTTCATTTGGGCAAAACATTTTGTCTCTGGCCATTATCTTAGTCTCCATAAATCCAGAGTATCAGGACATTGCTTGTTCTGTCCTCCTCTGTGTGCTCTGCTCCCTTCCTGCTCCCCAAAATCTTGCTTTGCTTCCCTCCCCTCCAAAAAAGAATAATTTGAATAAAAAAAATGTTGGCTCTAAATGTAACAATGAGCCCTGTGGAGTTACTGCATGACCTATTTTAAAAGAAGAAAAACAAGCAATATTTTTATAAATATGATATTTTAACTATACCTAGAAAATTATTATATTTGCTAAAATATGTATACCTTAAATTAAGGTTAAAACCCAAAGAGGAAAGAGGAAGAGGCACGTATAGGATAATGTGTCTCACACAAAACATAAGCCATAGGTTTGAATTCAGAATGTTTCTACAAGGACCCAATAAAAAAAAAACAACAACAGGGGATTGGATTCATTTTTATATCAGCTGAAAAATACTTGAGAAAAAATACACGAGAAAGACCCAGCTTCTCCCTACATAACTAGTGTAGATAAATAATAAGAGATGTCCTCCAGCAGGTCTAAAGAGTGGCTCCGACTCAAAAGGAAAAAATAAAACCAAAAACCATATTTTGTTAATAAATTAGAGAAAATTCCAGAGTGTATAGGAGATTACCATTAATTGTTTCAGCATTTGAGTTATAGGACTTTATTTTTCTTCCAAGATGTTATTTATTTAAGTTTATTTATTTATTTTGAAAGAAGGCATAAGTGGGGGAGGGGCAGAGAGAGAGGGAAAGAAAGAATCACAAGCAGGCTCTGTGTTGCCAGCCCAGAACTTGGTGTGGGGCTCAATCCCACAAACCATGAGATCATGACCTGAGCCAAAATCAAGAGTCAGAAGCTTAATCGACTGAGCCACCCAAGCACCCCTCTTCCAAGATTGTAGTTAAATTTGTTAGTTAACATGTAGTGTACTATTGGTTTCTGGAGTAGAATTCAGTGATTCATCACTTACATATAATACCCAGTGATCATCCCAACAAGTACCTTTCTTAATGCCCATCACCCATTTAGCCCATCCCCCACCCACTTCCCCTCTAACAACCCTCAGTTTGTTCTCTATAGTTAAAAGTCTCTTATGGTTTGTCTCCCTCTCTGTTTTTATCTTACTTTAATTTTCCTTCCCTTCCCCTATGTTCTTTTGTTTTGTTTCTTAAATTCCACATATGAGTGAGATCATATGGTATTTATCTTCTTCTGATTGACTTATTTCGCTTAGAATAATACACTCTAGTTTCATCCACCTCATTGCAAATAGAAAAATTTCATTCTTTTTTATGTCTGAATAATATTCCATTATATATATATAATATATATATAGTATATATATTATGTATATATATGCTACATCTCCTTTATCTATTATTCATTCATGGACATTTGGGCTCTTTCCAGAATTTGGCTATTGTTGATAGCACTGTTATAAACATTGGGGTGCATGTGCCTCTTCAAGTCAGTATTTTTATGTCCTTTAGATAAATACCTGGTACTGCAATTGCTGGGTTGTAGGGTAGTTCTATTTTTAACTTTCTGAGGACCCTCCATACCATCTTCCAGAGTGGCTGCACCAGTTTGCATTCTCAGCAACAGGGTAAGAGGGTTCCCTTTCTCTGCTCAATTACCTGATTTTTTTCTAGCTGCTAACCTTTTTAAGTCTTCATTTCCAGTTCATGTAACGTTTGTGTGTTAAAGTACATGATAAATCAGTCCTGTTTAAAAAATATATTTTTTGGTATGTAGCTTGTAGAATTTTGTAAAAAGTGATCTTAGATTTGTTTTTGTTTCTTCGTGTGGAAGGCAGATGGGTGCTATCGGAGCCTCTCCCCATCACTATAGTGTCGTATCGTTCTTACACCGCACTGAAATGTATTCAGGATTGTTTTAGCTTTATTCTTTCATCAGAGGTGTTTTAAATCTACTGCTGATACTGTTTCTTGCACTGAATATATATAAACACTCCAAAGTGTATAAATGGGGGAGATTTGAGATGGACGTATATTCGTAAAAGATGAAAGCTGTATCTGTTTATTTATCTTCAGTTTTTTACTGGGTCACTGAAATTCTTACAAGGGTGGGATGAATTTTTCTTGCTGTGCAGTGCTTTATCTTTTTTATCTGTTGTTCTGTGGTCACAGCCACCCGAGCTATGTCACAGACTTTCCCAAACGTATTGAGTGCAAATAAGCAGTTACTTAGCAAGACCCGAGGGGGAAAAAAAAAGTTAGTCCAGAAACGACAATACAATACTTTTTTCTGAGTATTGGGTTGTGTTGGAGATAATGGTGTAGGAAGGAAGTGAGCATAGAGTAATTACCTCTTCCTTGGAGGAATCCACATGAAGTGAATTACACTTCAAATAGTCTTCCAGATTGTCATTTTGTGAGAAGCAACTCTGTGTAGATGGCTGCCCATCTTTCTCTCTCCTTCCCACTGAGTGTCAGCCGTCAATACAAAGCGCACATTCTCCTCTGCCCCTCTGTGCTGCAAGTTGTACGTAGGCTGGGTCTTGCCAGGAAGGCCTGTTGTTTGATAGTGTTTCCTGTGACTAGGTGGTGGGTTCAGTTCCAGGTAAGGAGTTAACAAATCTATATGGTACCACATCCCAATCACATTCTCCACTGAGTCTCCAATAACTCCGTGTCTCTCCCTTAATGAGTTCTCAATAGGAGTGATGTAGAAGCTTGTTCTTCACTAATAAACTTGAAAACCCAGCGTATTGTACCCCAAGCTCACAGTTTAGATGAACCACATTGGGGTATTTGGATTGTTGATTTCAGTGGCCTATAGTTGCTTGTGCTGCGTGGGTAGGGAACTCTGAGGGACACCGGGAGCCTAGACCGGGGGAAAGGGACTTGCTCCTTCCGGTTTGCTTGCTGGTCTTATCAGGATTGCTCAATCTCCCTGTACCTTGCTGGTGGCAGCTGATGTCTATCACTGCAGCCTTTATTACCTGACTTCCCCAAAATGAGCCTCCATTCCCCCCACCCCACCCCAGGAGAACAACACTGTAAGCTGGGGGCCACCTGCCCCCTCTGAGGTAAAGTCTGAACCCTGACTCCTCTACACCAACCTCTGCCCTAGGGTTCACGACTGCTCCACACAGCTCCTACCTATTTATCACAGAGCTCCATTTTTTCTTGTCACCATTTTGTTACATTAAATTCCCTCTGCTCCATTTTACTGTAACCATTTTATTACATTAAATTTTTCTATTGAAATAACTTGTATGATTTTTCTTTTCCTATGGGATTCCCATTGGATTCAAAGAGAGGTTTATATAACACTCTGAAATTTGGGACAGTTATATGAGTGATGACATCAAATATCTGGGCAGGGATGAGAGTTGAAGTACAGAAAAGTACTGTAAAATACTTCTAAAATTACCTGATTTGTTTCAAGATAATCCAGTTATTATACATGTGTGTGGTTTACATACATACCCTGAGTGAAAATGCCCAGGGCATTTAGGAAATTTGTTCACTAAGTGAAGGCAAAATGATGAAGTAAAAAAAGAGTGAGCACCAGGTCAGACAATGTTAAAGTATCTCTTTATAAAGCAAACCGAGGAGAGAAACATGAAAG